CCCTCTCTCTCTCTCTCTCACACACACACACCCTCTCTCTCTCTCTCTCACACACACACACCCTCTCTCTCTCTCTCTCACACACACACACCCTCTCTCTCTCTCTCTCACACACACACACCCTCTCTCTCTCTCTCTCACACACACACACCCTCTCTCTCTCTCTCTCACACACACACACCCTCTCTCTCTCTCTCTCACACACACACACCCTCTCTCTCTCTCTCTCACACACACACACCCTCTCTCTCTCTCTCTCACACACACACACCCTCTCTCTCTCTCTCTCACACACACACACCCTCTCTCTCTCTCTCTCACACACACACACCCTCTCTCTCTCTCTCTCACACACACACACCCTCTCTCTCTCTCTCTCACACACACACACCCTCTCTCTCTCTCTCTCACACACACACACCCTCTCTCTCTCTCTCTCACACACACACACCCTCTCTCTCTCTCTCTCACACACACACACCCTCTCTCTCTCTCTCTCACACACACACACCCTCTCTCTCTCTCTCTCACACACACACACCCTCTCTCTCTCTCTCTCACACACACACACCCTCTCTCTCTCTCTCTCACACACACACACCCTCTCTCTCTCTCTCTCACACACACACACCCTCTCTCTCTCTCTCTCACACACACACACCCTCTCTCTCTCTCTCTCACACACACACACCCTCTCTCTCTCTCTCTCACACACACACACCCTCTCTCTCTCTCTCTCACACACACACACCCTCTCTCTCTCTCTCTCACACACACACACCCTCTCTCTCTCTCTCTCACACACACACACCCTCTCTCTCTCTCTCTCACACACACACACCCTCTCTCTCTCTCTCTCACACACACACACCCTCTCTCTCTCTCTCTCACACACACACACCCTCTCTCTCTCTCTCTCACACACACACACCCTCTCTCTCTCTCTCTCACACACACACACCCTCTCTCTCTCTCTCTCACACACACACACCCTCTCTCTCTCTCTCTCACACACACACACCCTCTCTCTCTCTCTCTCACACACACACACCCTCTCTCTCTCTCTCTCACACACACACACCCTCTCTCTCTCTCTCTCACACACACACACCCTCTCTCTCTCTCTCTCACACACACACACCCTCTCTCTCTCTCTCTCACACACACACACCCTCTCTCTCTCTCTCTCACACACACACACCCTCTCTCTCTCTCTCTCACACACACACACACACACTCTCTCTCACACACACTCACACACTCTCTCTCACTCACAAACACACACATACACACACTCACTCACAAACACACACACACACATACATACATACACACACTCACTCACTCACTCACTCACACACTCACACACTGTCTCTCTCTCTCACACACACACACACACACACACACACACACACATACATACACACACTCACTCACTCACTCACACACACACTGTCTCTCTCTCTCACACACACACACACACACACGGGGAAACAGCGTTAAACATCCTCACAGGACACACACTCAGTATCATCAAAATCATATTTAATAACACTCTTTTTATATAAATATTTAATAACACACATATAACACGAGTATGAGTGACTGACTTCCTGTTGGACTCGCTTCCTGTTAGAATCCCCCACACGGATCTCCGTTTGCAGCGTGTAGACGATACAGTGATATATAACTGCGTAATTCTACATATTTTATAGAATTGTATGAAACTAGCAGAGGCTTGAGTGAATGAGTGAGTGTGGTTCATGTCGCGCGTCACTTACCGGTATCAGATGTGAGCGGCTCGGTTCCGAACACAGCTCTGTGTGTGTGTGTGTGTGTGTGTGTGTGTGTGTGTTTGACACAACCGGTCATGTGACCGCAGTCGTGTCACGTGACGCAGCATCAGCTGACCTCAGACGTTTGTTGACAAGGAAGTTCAGCATGCATTACTTTTTTATTTAATGCTCAAAAATCAAAAACAGTATACAAAAACTAATACAACCATCAACATAAAATAACAGACGTGAAAAAAGAATACAGTAAATACTATAGTGTTTTTGAACCATACTATAGTAAAGTACTTGAATTAATTTGTTGTGGTAATATAAACAAATTACTTTACCCAATACTGTACTAAGTTTTCTAGAACTATAGGGTGTATTATACTACAATGCACTACAGTGTACTGTAGTAAAACTAAAGTATACTACAGTATTTATTACAGTTAATACAGTGTGCTGTAGCATCGATTAACAAAGTGCTCTAAATACTATAATATATACAGTATAATGCACTTTACTGTAGTATGGCTCAAAAACGCTATAGTATTTACTACATGTGAGACAACTAAATAAAAGCAAATAATGAATAAAAAGGGTGTTTAATACATTGCACACTGAAAAAAACAACAATATTGAGACTTGCATGTAATTAAAGATAGGAAAAGAGTTGCGAACAAAGCTTTTCAACTTTGAAAGTTAAGTTCTTAGACAACAGAGTCATCACAAAACACTGTTTTCATGTAATGATTTGCAGGATAGACCTTATGCATTATTACGTAAGAAATCTCCTTGACTTTGTTAGTTAATAAGTATGAGAAAGCATCCACACTTTTTTCCAGTGTGCATTATTCCAATAAGAAGATGTAAGTAATAATATTATTTATGCATACATTGTGCAAGTCACCTTTATTTATACAGCGCTTTTAACAATACAGATTGTGTCAAAGCAGCTTTACAGGATTAAATAAGAAGATAGTGTGTCAATAATGCAAAAACTTGTGTGCAAAACTTGAAAAACTGCTTGGACTAGTCTTGACAGTTAGTCAGCTTTTTCTCTTTCAGACTGGTCATAACATTTTAAAACCAGTTACATAAAAATGAAGGTCGGTGTAATTTGCATCCGCAAAGGAAGACTGATTACCGTTCTGCTAGTTAATCAAATAACTGTGTTTTTATTAAACTTTTCATAAACATAACAATATACACATAGCATCTACTTAAAAGGTTAACACTAAAAAAATTAATAATAAATAAATAACCAGACAAAATGGAACAAGCAAAGACAGCTTAAATAATACAAAATTAATAAGGAAAAAATAAATACAAATGCAATAACTAAAAAAAAGCCCCTGACAACATGAACCAAATATGAATCAAACTAGTTATAGAGGCTACGTTTATGCAACTGTCCCTTGTTTTTACTTGGTTAGATGGTTTAAGCAAAACTGTAGTGTTTTTATCATAGACTGTATAAAAACATGGACGTGACGTCACCCGTAGGTTTCCGAAGAGCGTTTTTGAAGCTCATAAGTGGGCGGAGCCGGCCGTCGCCATCTTGGCAGCGCGTCACTCCCGGATAATCGAAAATAGGCAAAGAGGCGGGAGCTGGCTGCTGAAGCCACGCCCACCTAGCTCGACAGTGGTGACGGCAGCGGCAATCCACCTGTCACTCAAGTGGCCACGCCCCCTTAATTATGCAGAACTTTAAGGCTTAATATAATTTAAACAGATGAGTTATAAAAAAATTCACCCGCCTCACAGTTGTCATGAAGGGCAAAATTAGCTATACAGACCAAAATAATTTTTTGAACCAGACTGTAAACATGTTTTTTTCTGCTGTAAAGTTGGGCATTTCAACATGGGGAGTCTCTCTTTTGCAGCCCGCCTCTAGCGGCCAGTTGATGAATTACAGTTTAAGTCACTTCCGTGTTGGCTACACAGAGAGAGCGAGAGGTTGCCGCTTGGTTTTTACAAGTAAAGTCAAATAGACGATTAAAGCCTATAATAGGCCTATTATTAATATCTGGTAACTGATCGATACTGTGTGTCACTTTTTCCCATGTATTTGTCTTTATTGTAGCTCTAATTTGAGTAATTTTATTATTTGCTTATTCTTATTTTATTGTTTGCATCAATCATTCCATGTAACATTGATAACATATTATCCATTGTGATGTTAGAAACTAAGCTTTTCGGAACTTCGAATCAATTGCAAAACGATTCAGTGTTTCGAAGCGTGTTTCGCGTGTAAAAAGCGCATGTTGGCGACACCAGCTGCAACGAGAACAAATCAAACGTACAGTAATAACAAATTTAAATGTTTTATAAGTGTAACCTATTAAATGTAATCTACAAATTATTAAGAATAAGCGCTCTTGATACGTGCTCTGAATCAATTCGAAACAAAAGAGTCATGACGTTTCGAAGCTTCATGCAGCAGTGTTTCGAAAGGGTCCATGAAAATTAATATAATGTAATTACTGGTGACATGCTAGTGGTGTTGTGAACTGAAATAAAACTGGTCTTTGATTAATTATGATGTTTAAAAATGAATTTAAAGGGTTAATTTGTTTGAAAGTTACAGTAAGAAACCCGAAACGTCCTAAGATTCAGTGGAGGGCAGTAGCTAAGTCATTTTTACTTCGTCACTGTACTTAAGTGCAATTTTCAAGTAACTGTACATTACTGGAGTATTTTTATTTTGGGAAACTTTTACTTCACCACATTCCAAATCATAACATATTTCATAAAAGCATGTCGTTCCTCATTATTTTGAACTGGAGAAATCGTCACGCACAGTGGTGTTCGTTTCGTGAACGAGCCGATTCCTTTAAATGAACCTGTTAAATCGGTTCGCTAATCGCACTAAACGATTCATCCGCGAATGGGATTGAGCAGATTGCAGCTGCGAGAGCGAGTCTAGTGTCCAGTTAACAACTCACTGATTCATATAATTCGGCCAGAGCGAGTCTAGTCTCCAGTTAACAACTCACTGATTCAAATGATCCGGTCAGAGCGAGTCTAGTCTCCAGTTAACAACTCACTGAATTCACAAGTCTGACTCAAAAACGTGAAATCACATTTAGGTCATGAGTGTCCATTGTTTGGGAAAGCTGCTGTAAAAGGGCTGTTTAAGCGACTGTATGAAATGCTTGAATGTAAACATGTCCATATTCATATTAGGCTACCATTTAAATGGGTACATTTTCTTCAGAAACT